TGGCCACACTATCCCTAATTCGAAATGTTAAAATCGATTTTGGCGCTACTCCGCTCGTCGGGGTGGAGTACAGAAATCGATTTAAAGGGCCCTTTACATTGAAATAAATAGCGTCGTTGTGAGGAGGGTTACAGGGTAAATTCGAATTAAAGCTGATAAATCCGAATTAAAGTCGTAGTGTAGACCAGGCCTCAGTGCTGACAGCCCAGAGAACTAACCAATGAAAGTTCAAGAGGTGGATTTTGTCATCTAGAAGTTCTCAAATTGGGGTCCATGGACTGCTGATAGGCCTCTGAGAGCTGGTTGGTCACAAAATGCTGGCTTCTCTGATTTCCCCCCAGCAACTAACTAAACTGATTAACACTCACACACACACACACACACTTGTAATATTACTTCTCCACATAAGCATTTGCTGTAGTTACCACAAAGATGTTATACAATGGTAGAGAAGTGGTCCACAAGACAATGTTTTTAAAATAAGAACTTACATTGTAAATGAGTTTGAGTACCCCTGCCAGGGCTGACTTTGATGGATGTTTTGCAGGCTTGAATACTGCAGGATCAAAGCTCAGATCTGCTAGTTATGGGCTTTATCAAATACTTCTATGTGAAAATTCCATATATACTGCACACAATCATTTAAAATAAAACAAATATCCCTTTTCCCATACTAGCTGTAATAGTGTAGCCATCTCAGACGTGTACATTTTCTAACGTTAGCGTTGAGATTTACACGAAGTAATCCAAATGGAACATAAGAATGACCATACTGGCTCAGACAATTGGTCCATCTAGCCCAGTATCCTGCCTTCTGTCAGTGGCCACTAGTACCGGATGCTTCTGAGGGACTGAACACAACAGGGCAATTAACATGTGATCTACCCCTGTCATCCAGTCCCAGCTTCTAGCATTCAAATAAAGTAAAAGGTTTGTGAAGAAAATGTGTGCTATAAGTTTCTAGACAACCAGTTTGCACAGTATCACTATCTATTAGGCGTTTATTTCTAAAGGGCCTCTGAGCATCAACCAAAATACAACTGAAAACAATAATTATCAAAAAGGCAACATGGGCCAGTGCATAAATCCTAGAACTGGTTTAAGTATATATACACACACACATACACACCAAAAACAAAAAACACAGAGACAAAATCTAAAAAGAAGGATAAAAATATCATCAGTCTCCCTGAATATGCCACAGATCAACTCTTCCAGCCCCTCCTTTTATTTTGAGATTATATTATGGGATGATTGGCAGTTCAAAACCCACCAATCTAAATGCCGTGACAGGAGACCAGGGCAGCAGGTGGCTTCATATCATATATTTGATTAGCCCTTGCCATACATTTTCTCCCTTGTTTATGTCACAAGCATCTCTGTGAGCAGATGGGTGGTTCCTTCAGTAATGAATGGGAGAGATCTAGCAAGGGTATGATGAAACAGTAATTTAAAATTAAGCCATCAGTCAAGTCTTGTTGCTCAAGATAGAGGGGAAGAAAAAATAGTGTATAAGGGTCATGTACTGAACCTGATCATCAGCATGAATCAGCTTATTTTTTGTGCTGACTAATCCCTTTCCCCTTCCTCTATTCAAGGCAAAGCAAGGTTATCAAGCCCAACTCCCACAAAGTCAATCCAAGCCCTCTAAATATACAATACTTACCAGAAATAAAGCCCATCTGTCTTGACATTCCCATTGCTTGGAATGCACAAAGTGTCTGGAGGAGAGCAACTTTATTTCTGCCAAGGTCAGCAGAGGTGATCAGGCTTCTGTTGGTGATTTCTGCACACGGCAGTGAAAACCTGGAGTTTGGACTCTCAGAGTTTTCCCTTGGGAGATCATTCTGACACCTGGGTCTACTCTATTTTTTCCTACCCTCTGCTAGAGGAAGCAAAGAGGAGTTTTTGGACCTTGGTCTCCTGCACCTAATTTCTCTCTGCTAAAGGCAAAGGGCTGTCTGATTAGACCAGTACATGATTTTCTTTCCATTCTTTCCTCAATTCCAGAAAAGACAGATGAAATACCCTCATATTTACCACATTAGTATGGTATTTTTTTTTTTTACTTTTCTTTTGGACCAACTGTATTGTACTGTTTTTTCTTGTTTCTTCCCTATAGCCTAGGAGAGTCACATCCATAATTAGGGTGACCAGGGACTGGAGTACATCCTTCAGAAAGATATTCTTCCTGCACCAACAGACCACCACCACTGGGACAAGTCCAGTATTCTCCTGGCAGTAATATTTTTTAATCCAGCTCACAGTATTTTGTCTGTGGACTCTCAATTTTTTGAGTGAGTATGAATGTGCTCTGGTCCACAGGACTAGGTCTAGTCAGGATGCTCAACGGCCTCATGCTCTGACATACTAGAATGGTCTCTTTCAGATGGAATTCTGTTGTCAGGTACCTTTATTGGCACCTTTCCACATGTGAAAGTGAAATGAATTATATTAAAGAAATAGAATGAATTAAAGAATGCTGTATGTATCTTTAAGTAGAAATGAGAAATGCTGCAAGCCAGGAAAGCAGACATTAACTGCTTAACTTGCCACTTAAGGGCAATTGGTGAAGCATTAGCCTTAGATCGATAAGAGTTAATAAGGCAGCAGAATATGCATATTGTGCCCTATGCAAATTTTACAATTTTGCTCTCTCTGTCCCTTTGTTTAGTTCGCACCCTTTTATCTGTATAAATAAG